TAGCTAAGGATAATGCGAGTGCTTATACGTATCAGACAACAAATGATCCATTTTGGAGTGATCCCGAAACATTGGCAGCGATCGATGCAATTGTGAAGGCGGTTGAGCGACGTAATCATATGAATGAACGTTTCAAGAGAATGCATGACGATGGTCCCAGTTACAACTTGGGCATCTCATCGGATGATGATGATGTCAATCAGACTGGTCGTAATACGGGTGGGGCTGCTGTGGCTCCGGAGTGTGGTAAAACTCATCAGTCACCCGAGAAGTCGCTCGAAGTAGACATTCAAATAGGTATTTTGTCAAATTTATGGTATTTTTATACTTCATGTGTTATGGGTGCCGATGTTTATATTATTTAATTGAATATGCAACTTGTTGTTTTTATATTAATACATTTATAATGTTATTTATGAAGACGGCGTTGGGTTGCCAAATGAACCGACAACCTGTGAAGAAGACGTACAGCAGCCTGAGATGTTGTGCCGGCAGGTATACATGCAACGTTCACACATATATATATAATTATTTTTTTTTTCAATAATTTATTCAATATATGTTTGTGCTCCGTTATATGTTATTATACATTATTTGGTTAGAAATTGATGATTCTTCAGCCCGTGTCGATGACGTTCATGGTTCCCCGAGGCCAAAGAGGCATATCAGGGTGACTAGCGCTTTTAAATCTCCTTACAAACAGAGGGAGATCGACGTGGACAAGAAATTAAATGTGCAAGAGAGGATGATTTCTAACTGGATTATGAAAAACGACATGATTGATGGGTATGAACATTATTCAACCTTATATGTATATTTTTTTGTTTTTTGTTTTTTTGTTTTTTGTTTTTGTTTTTGCTATCCTTAATTTTAAATCACACACTGTTACGTACAAGGTACAGTAGTGTGATTATATTTCGATCGATATCGTACGCAGTGAGGTGGCCTACTGTGGCGTGTCTAAATCCAAATGTGCATATCACGAATGAATTGCTAGACTTGTGGTCAACCATTCTCAATTATAACGAGAACTTGAAAAGTCGTGGCGCACCATCTTGCTTTTTTGCAACCACTTCCCCATGTAACGAGGTGCGACATGTTATTTGACAATGTTTAAGTAACCGTGTATTTTGTATCGAAATATTGTTTTTAAATATAAGGTGCATTTGATGGTGGTGTTGTGGTGTGTAGCATTTCTTCAAGCCAAAGCCAAAAGGGAAGAGAGGATCGAGCTACAACTACAAGATGTTTGCAGAAACCTTAGAATCAGAAATCAAACGCAGGTCCCCTCACAATTTGAAGAATATAGCCGTGGTAAACGATTACATATAAAATTATATTGAAATTTAATTATTTACTTATTTATTTTGTTTGTGTTTGTCGTGATATTCCGAGTCCATGATCAAGTACGTTTGACTTCTATACGAATTCGTTTGTTGTTATCTTCCGATATAATATCATTTATAAGTCGATTTATCTTATTGTTTATTACAATTTTTATCTCTGGTACAATCTGGCACATTCTCGGGTGTAATGTGTGTATTCCTGGAATCCCAAAAGTTGAGCATTTTATATAGTGATGGAAAATACAAAGATGGTGCTGTCACGAAGCCTGTTATGCCACTAGTTAAGCTACTGGTAATATGACAACAATTACATCAGACAATATCACATAATTATAAATGGTTGTTCATGGTTTTGTGTTAACCAATATCTCACCTATTGCAGTAACATTCAATCTCCAAGTTTTTAGGCGAGAGGAGCATGGTAAAAATTTCAAAAGCAATTGCATTGTCCTTGCCCGAAGTTATTGGCACACCATGGACTGAAGGCATCGAAGAGATAGACATCGGGGTGACGACATGCGTCATATGGAGACATTTAAAGGGAAGACATGGAACCCGCAGCTTAAGATGGCAGACAAGGGTCAGATAAAGCTTATTAGGAAGCAATATAGCTGTTTCATTGCGTGTGCCGATAACAATGAAGTGGCGGCCATCAACCTTGCCGCAGCAAAGAGATTTCATCCGGTGTATCTTGCCAAAAAAAGGGCAAAGTGGTTACGGGAAATGGACCATGCAAATGGGGCAGCGACTATGAATGTACATGTTAACTTTTGTTCGTGACATCTCGTACTGTGATGGATGATGACGTTTTTGAACTGGATGTTTTGTTCTTTTGAAGTTTTTGGATGGTAACTTCGTGGTGCGACTGACATTTGGATTTGTGATCGTGTGAATGTTTTTTCATGTCTCTGTTATGTCGGTCTGTCGGATGATACGAAATTTCAATTTCATTGAAGCATTTATTTCGTATTACGTCTAAATAGCTGAAGTTGTGCATATGCTCGTAACATAATGTGCAGATTGTATATTTGTTTTGTGCATCAACATATATATTGTTGTGAAAAAAGTATCGTAGTACGAAATTTCAATTTCATTGAAGCATTTATTTCGTATTACGTCTAAATAGCTGAAGTTGTGCATATGCTCGTAACATAATGTGTAGATTGTATATTTGTTTTGTGCATCAACATATATATTGTTGTGAAAAAAGTATANGATGGTAGTTGTTTAGAATTTGTGCATAATGACAATGTGTAGTGTGCATTTTTTCATGAATCGTAGTGCAGAACTATATATTTTTGTTATGACTTTTTATTTTGTTATTTATGTATACATGTTACTTAGTCGACTGATAATTTAAATTATAAAGTAATGCTTGTAAAGTAGCGCCGAGAAATCGGGTCTAATAGCGATGTATAATGTGAACTATTGCAAGGACAAACGTGCAACCTTATATACGGTAGTGTGCATCGTTTATGTTCACATATGCGTGTAACCACTGTCTATGTTCATATATGCGTGTAACGTGCAATTAGTTAAGTACGTTAGTGCATCATTGTTTACACTATTGTGCATCTAATATTAAACAACTATATATAAACACACATAAGTTAACAAGTATAATGAATCTGAAATCATATTAACGAGTCGTTTCCAGTAGCAACAACCAACGAAACAATATCCATGCACATGAAAAAGGACTGATCGTGAAACTAGTTCAAATATAACAAAGGAATTAGTCGAACTCTTCCAACAGTAGTCGTGGTCGAAATCTTCCGGTATGCTTCAGCGTGCAACATTAAGGATCATGTAGTTATTTGTGTCTGCATATTTAAATTGTTGTAATTAGTATAAAGTCCAAAGTATGAACTAATATTAAAAGCCTGCATGTGCATACAACATGCGCGAGATACCTGGTTGTGCCGAGAGTGCCACCACCTCTGTGCATTTATCAATTTCCTACAATACCCATAGTTTATATGAAAAAAAAAAATTAATAAATAAATAAATAAAAAGTACATTAGATAAACATTTTAATTGCTGAGTGCAAATAATTAATAATGTATACATAAAAATGTTCAACAAGTGTTGTTTACCTTCATTAGTCGTGACTGGTGTTGTTATACAGATATCTTTTTAGGGCAAGTACGTGTATTGTGCCCTGCTCTCTCACCACACGTCTTGCATATTCTTCTCTTTTTTGTGACATCTCAATCGAATTTACCTTATTGCTCTTCATCCTCTTTCCACTACCTTTGTTTTTCGATTGTGCTGGGGGATGGATGTTTATTACTTGCGGGATGGTCATCCCAACGAATGAGTCGAACCTCTGCTCTCTGTTATTTCTTGACGAACCACTATCCTGGTCACTTAGTAGTCTGCATTTGTGCTCCCCTATTAGCTTAGAAAACTCAACCAGACGGTCCATATTCGAATCGACCAATCCCATGCATACATGTATGTCCGACCAAAGCGTGTTCACCATGGACTTCTTATCATCTATTTGTGCACATTCCTCTGTGATGCTATCAAGAATACGAAACATAGGATTGCTTATAGCAAGTTTTCTCCACCTTGACATGATGTGAGCAGGCGGTATAACATCAATATTCAAGTTTTTCAACACAACAAAGATATGCCTACACAACCACCCGTACAGTTCAAAATGTTTACATGAGCATTTCGACGATTTCAGGCTCGTATTGTGTATAACAGTGAAAAACTTCCCATCGATGTCCCCTATCACAAATGTCATATCGTCTTCCTTTTACTGAGATTTGCACGAGTCGGCATTTGAAGCATGCATCACATATTTCATTTTGCACACGATAGAATATATGTGTGGTGTACATAGCCAGTGCATTTTTCTCAATCAACAACGGTGTTTTTAGTACAGCTACATGAGTTTCACTGTCACTTTGCAACTTCATTGACACATTTCTCTGTGAATCAATTGCACTATCATAGTGAAGCATAAACTCTACCAAACTAGAATGGGTATTTGTAAAATTCCTAAACCAATTGTTCTCGCTTTCGGACCTAGATGTAGTCCTCATTAGCCCACTCATCATGGTATCCCCAAAATAGGCTAGTATCCAATACTCCCTCTTAGCAAACAAATCAATGAACCAATTATGATTGTCCAATTTAAACTCACACATAATTGCATTCCATTTAGATTCAAACTCGTCAGGTTCAATGTGTCGGCTCCAAACAATTTCGTTAAGCCTCCGTTTGAAATTGCTATCATTAATTAGAGAATATCCGACTTTTTCATATAACTTATTCATGATATGCCACATGAAAAAGCGGTGCTTGCTGCTCGTGAATACCTTAGAGAAGGCAATTCCAATAGATGGATCTTGATCGGTGACTATGTATTTTGGTTCATGAATCATTGCACTTTTGAAGCTTTCAAAGACCCATACATAAGAATTAACGTTTTCTCTCAATATCAACGCTGATGCAAACGTTACGCACTTCCCGTGATTGTCTATGCCAGTGAATGGTGCAAACACCATATTGTATCTACAATTAACAACAACATCGTGCTGCATGAATTGTGTTGTATATGTTGTGCAAGTAAATATAATGTAATGTGCTGTGAAAATGACATTGCTGTGCAATACTGTAACACTAAGTTAATCAAGGTGTTTTATTGTTTTTACCTGTTTGTGCAATATGTTGCATCAAATGATACAACATCCCCGAAAGACCCATAGTTCCTTCTTGATACCGGATCGCCCAGAAAAGTCTATGTAGACAATCGTTTTCGTCAAGGTCATAATGAAAAAAGAATGCCGAGCTATTCTCCTGCTGTTTATAGAACTTCTCTATAACCAACTGTGCGTCAGCGCCTGAAATGTACCCCATGAGATCTCGCTTGAAGTTTTTGAATTCCACACCAGTTGCGCCAACATCAGAATAGCCCCTAACAATTTCTTTGTACAGCTTGTACGACTTGATAGGCCCAATGTTGGCTTTTATGCAGTTTAGTACAAAGCTCTGATGTGAGGCTGTCATTGTTCGATTTACTTTTAATCGGGACTTGCATTCGTCAGGTATCATTGGATGAGTATGCCTTTCTTCGAACAAATGAACGACGTAGCTACCAGGCCCATCAACTCGCAGCACAATCCGGGCATTACATCCCACTCGATTAGACACCCTGCGTCTCCTTGGATGCACTGTTTCGATCGTGTTGGACTGATTTTTGTAGCCCTGTCGCGAACACACCAAGTATTTCCAAACCAGAGTCTTATCTTTTGCTTTCAACAATGTGCTTTGCCTAACGTCAAACCCGACTGTAGACGCATAGGCACAATAGAAAGTGACAGCTTCGTTGAGCCCATCAAATGTCTGTCCTCTATGAGGCACGATTGCAACATTGCACTGTGGTATCCAATATTTAGTGCCACCCGGGGTGACGACTATACGGTGTTGCAGAGGCGTTGATTTTTGAAGTGTCGCTGCAATAAGTCGTGTAAAAACAACAGACAAAACGTAAATGAACAATTTAGCAACAAAGCATGACTATTAATTGTATATGCACAATTACGTGAGAACTCATGCACAACTGTTTGCATAAACATGCACAACACTATTTTTTTACATGCATTATATACAATATTCACATATGCATCAGTCTCTCAATAATGCTTAAATCACATGATATAAACACTCAAACACTAATTAAGACTAAAATATAAACAAGACAGCTATAATTAATCCATAGTACCTCGTGCTTCGTCAGTGTTTATGGATTCTTCCATGAGCGAAATTTTGTAAAAATCCTGAATCGAACATAGCATCAATAATCCACTCATTTATACTGTATAATCGATAGATCAAGGCAGGTATAGAGATAACAAAAATAACACGAAAAAATAAATAAAGAAAAACAACAAAAAAAGGCAAAAATTAATCTATTCAGACGCCGCTCGATTTGAGTTGCTTACGAGCTCGAACCTTGATTCCAACGCTGATTTTGCTTCGGATGCGGTACTAATTTACTTTGATTTACAGGCATTCATGTATATTGTCGTCGCCTCAATCAATTGGCAGATCGATTGATCCTGAGCTTCGAGATTTTCGTTATTTTTTTTGTCTGTCTGATTTTTTTGCGAATTTATGATAGCTGTGGGGGAAGGAGGCGTGTTAATTGTGTAATGTCAATTACACAATTACCCCTTCTAGTTGTGCGCGAATCAGCCGGTTTCTTCCGTTAGATTATTTCAATCTGGTGGTCATGATGTATTCTTATTTCTCACCTTGAGCACTATTCTCACCGAAGTGCGACCCTATATATATACATATATGATTGGACGTATGAGGAAATTAAAAGCTTATCAGTGGAGCCATAACATAGTTTCCTTATTACAAAGACTAAGAGGTGATTGGATATGAATTCAATTAGTAAAAAACTAGTTTTTTTTAATTATAGTTAAATTTGAAAAAAAATAGTATGGTTAGTTGTTAGTGGATATATTAAAATAATATTTAAATTAAAATAATTAAAGTTGATTTGATGTAAAAGTAGGAGAAAATGATTGGAAGTGATGGTTAGTTAAAATTATGTGAGTGGGTGAATAATGAATTAAAGTTGATGTGATGTGTAATAATGATTGATTGATATTATTTAATTATATTAATAATATTAGAGATAGTGGAGTTGAGTTAAATTTGAGTTTTGAGTGGAATATTTACTGTACAAATTATATACAATAAGTACTCTTTATTGTCGTGTGTATATATCTATATATTGAAATTCTTATTTTCGCTATGCCAGGATGAAGCCGCTGCCTTCGAATTGATCACTCTTATAAACTGCATTGAGAAAACAATAATATATCAGTGTTGGCAAAATTGAAGAAATAGTAATAAACGTAGTCCTTTGAGAAACGCAGTTTTTATTTAGAACATGGACATCATTTTTCTTCAAATAAAAAAAAATAATAATAAATAATAATGAAAAAACAACAATCTAAGAATCATATTTCTTGTAAATTCCCCTTTTCATAAAATAAAAAATAAAAAATCATCCTATACGGATCTACTTTTGAGAAATGTGATTGGGTAAATGTGATTTGGTTTTGGAAATATTGAAAAATCACGTACGAGCATTTAGGGAGTTTGGCAGCATTTTGAAAGACCGTTCGTATCTGCAGGGATGTGAACTTTTTCCTTACAGTTTTGCTATAAAGTCATCGGGTGGTTCAATTTATGGAGCCATCCACACTTATTCACCAATAGTATATTGACACGTGTCCTACATTAATTTCAATTTGGACAAGTGTCAATACATTAAGTAGTGGATGACTCCATAAGAAAATCATCCGATGACTTCATAGAATTTTGTTTTCCTTAATGCGTCACATATATTATTTCCTAAACTACGGTGTGCGTTAAAACAACAGTAGCGGCTAGGACGATTATTATTGGATTCGGATGACGTGAGGTATATACTGTTGGGTTCGTTATACCGTACGAGGTAAAATGCAGCGGAAATAAAACTAAATAAATAACCATTTATCTAATAAATACTAAACCCCTCGGTTCACATAGCGATTGTTACGATCGGCATTTTTAAAATTACGTAAAAATACGAATTTTGGTTTGTAGAGAATTTCGAAAATTACCTTTAATTTTCTTTAAATAGTGACGATGAAGAGGAAATCAATTCCCGGTTATGTGGCTATCACCGTCTTCTTACTCCGTAAGGGATCCAAGTGTCTCCCCTCTAATCGAGTCCACCCCTATCCGATTCCAACTCCGAGTCCACCCCATTGGTCTTCGCTAGTAGAAATTTTCCGGAATTGAATTAGTAAAAAGGAATTAAATTGAGAGGAGATTTATTTTATTTTATTTTTCTTTTTGCCAAAAGACAAGAGTACTAATGCTCTTTCTTGCAAAATTGATTATATGAGAACTTGTTTCAATGTCATGTCTCGTGAAGTCTAACTTCTTTTATACATCAAATGTACAATTTTAAATGTTCAACATTATTGATGTTGGGTGATCTAAAACACATCTCACCAAAAACTCATATTATATTTATATAATTAATCATGGTGAGTTGGAGATGAGATTCTCCATTAACTTTGATTTAATTATGAAAAAATGAGTTGGAGATGAAAATGAAGATTCCGACAGTTCATTACCATTATCATTTATTTAATTCTAACCTTTAATCTTAATTAAAGATTAATAAAAGATAAATAAAGATAATGACTCATAATTTATGAAACCAACTTTCTAAATTAATTGGTCAAAATCTTATTTCTCATAAAATCTCCTCTTTTATGTAGGCTTTTAATATATAATCATATTAATATTTGGATTTGAATTTTAAAGTCCAACTTTAAAATCCAACTATTAATATAGTAATTAAAATAATTACTTAATCAATATCCAAAGCCTAATTAATCAATCCAATTGATTAATTTATTTCATTCCTTTAATTGACATCTAATCAAAATTAGATTTAATTAAATAATCAATTATTTAATTAAATCTTGTCAATTAATCCAACTATTGGAAATATCAATTTTAAAATGTCATCATCCAAAATTTGGTGTGACCCTTTTAGGTTCACTATTAACACTAGTAGTAAGTTTACAACTTATTTGTAATTTAAATTAATCTAATTAATTTACATTCTTGAAATTAACTCCTTAATTTCAAGAACCCACAAATCATGGTAACACATAGAAAGTAGCATGATTATCTAGTGTTAAGTGAAATAACGAGTAAACCTTTTTCAATTGCAAGTGCATACATGTAAAATCCTTTCAACAACTAATTTCTCGATTAAATCTGGGGCATGAATTTATAAGTCGAAACCCAAATTGATTTAATAACTATGATTCCATTTTAAGTTTTGTGATTCTTTTATGAATCCATATTCATCTCGCCTTGGTCAAGGTCTTTGAATCACAAACTATGAAAAACATAGGAAATTCACTTATCCACATAAGTGTCGAATTATTTGTTGGCCACAGATAAACCTCCATACATATCAATACAATACTTAAAATATCCCTTTTGTGATTGTCCAACAATCAAAAGATAAATCAAAGTAAAGTACAACATGCACAAGATTACTATCGTGCCTCAAGTTAGAGGATCAGTCATGTACTATTGCAACATGAAAATTCTTATTCGACAGTTAAAAACTTCCAGTTAAGAATTTTCATCGGGCCATGTTCAGTGAACTTGTTCTCCCACAGACACCCGCATATATGCATTTGCGTCCACACGCTGATGTTGATGGAATGCAACATAATCGTCCGACGAGCATGCATCATATGCACAAGTCTTACCAGGTTATTCGATGTCCTGTTTCGAAACACCCATTGACTTGGAACTTATTTAAGATCACAGCTTTAAAGATATGTTCCATGATTGCCATCAAATGCGCAACCATGCTGTAATGCCCCACTTTGATTTAACGAAAATCCATGGCTTTTCAGAAAAATCAGTTTAATTTTCAAAATTCATTTCAAAACACTTGCGGCGCTACTCACTTAATTTCAACATCAATTATCATCTCATAACATAAATCTGAACATAAACTCCCAAAACGGGATTCATAAAATCATAAATCACCATTTTACCCAAATCCATTTCCCAAAATCATAGTGTTCACGGGGCACCAACATTATTTCAACACGTCATAAAATCCCAGAGTTCACAATTTCATAAAATCATAAAATCATTTCATAAATAGCGGAAGCAACTACTAAATAATCGGGTCATAAAGACCGACCACCACTCGCTCGTTCCTGTCGTCATGCCCGCCCTGCTCGACCTGAAATGTTAATTTCAGGTGGGAGTGAGCACATATGGAAAGCGTAGTGCTCACCACTATGCAATAAACGATAATCATAATATAAATCAGTATGATCACAACATGTACATGAAACAATTAAGTATCCCAATCTCACATCATAATATCGTCATAAAATCAAGACTCATGTGCACACCTACGCATAGACTGTTTGTCCCAATTTGTTGCGTTATTCATGTTTATTATATCCTTCTTTTTCCCCCGTGTTAGTTCGTTTCTTTAGTTTTTAGTCCGTTTCGTATTTTATTATGTGTTTTTCTTGATTTTGAGTCTTTAGGTGCTATTTCGTTTATTTTCCCAATTTTCTTCGTGTTTTGTCGTTTTTGGTGTGTAGGTCGGGAGCTTCGGGTGAATCTTCTCTTCAGCAAAAGTTTGTTTCGAGCGCATATTTTAATAGAGGGGTTCGTTGGCGACGCATAGCAAAAAATGGAACTCAATTCCGAATTCGTACCAGCCCAAACGAGCCCGAAACGTAAAATTGCGCAGTGCAGTCCAAAGTCGCGACTCGCGAGAGCACAGTCCCGAATCGTGAGAAAAAAGTCGCGACTCGCGAGAAAAACAGAGCCTGAAGGTGCAGTACGCTAGCACGAGTCGCGACTCGCGAGACAATGTCGCGACCAAACCCTAAAAATTGAAGATCTTGACGACGCGCGACTCGCGAGGATGTCGCAACTCGCGACTTGAGGTGTCATGGATATCGAATGCCCTTTGGGCTTCTATCGATCCCCTAGCGAGTAGGAGTAAACCACCCCGCCGGCCAAGACCTCGCCTTGGTCTTACAACGGGGGTCACCAGCCAAGGCCCATGCCCAGGTCTTACAGTTCCCAAAAGGAGATTACCCAACGGGTACGTTCTATAGCTACGGGGATAACCGTTCGACGGCCGGTACAACTCACATCAAAGGCTACATGGTTCACATGCATA